AGATCCAAAACACTTTCAGAGACAAGGATGAAGAGGTTTCATGAGAAAACAAATAGAATGAGAAATTGGTGATCTAAAAACCCGAGATGGCATCTCCACCTTCAACTTTCTTATTGTTCAATGTATTGGGTTAGCAAGGAAAAGAAACTGACCTTCATAGCCATAATCGTTAGTGAGCATCCCCCGGTTCTCTCATCATAATTTGTTTCTCTAAGCAATTCACTTCTTTTTGTTTTTTTCTTCACTATAGAGGCTGTGAGTCCTTATTGTTGACCTTCTCCCACATCTTGAGCAGGTCCATAACTCTAATCACGTCCTTTGGATCCTGTTGGTAGAATTTGATTTGAACTTTAGATTGCAGCCCTTCAGAGAAATGTCCCTGCAATTGATCTTTTGGTGTTTGGTTTGCTTGTGACACCAACCTTGAGGAGTCATTCCCTTCAAACATGGACAACTCCACTGTTTTAACCTAAGGCCTCAGCAACACTTCTCCCTCCTTGTCTGATCTACTACTATGTAGATATCTTTCTTCCTTCTTCTCTTCATCATTAACCAGGTACTGCATCCTTCAGACCAAGTTCTTGCTTTCAACATTTTGTAAGGTTCTTTGATTCTTTCAGGTCTGGCTAACTTTCTTTAATAAAACCATTTCTGTTCATGCTCATTTTTCCAACACACTAAACACCTTACGATTTTGACCCTTTGAGTAGATCGATAGATCAGATCAATTGTAGGAACCAAGAATTGAAAGAAGAACGAAAAAAGGTTTATGAATTAGAATGACAAAGAAACAAAATAGGAGATTACTCTCTCCTTCACGGCTTCCCCTTTACAAGAGGCTAAAGTTCAATCTACCAAAAGTTAACGTCCTTCCCTTTCATCTCCTTCTCCTACTTGATAATCTAACTAACACCTCAGTAAGTAACTAATTCATGGATATCTTACTATCTTAACTAATTTCTCTTCTTTGTGTCCTAACAGAAATACACCCTTAAAATATAATTTTCTTCTTCCTTTGTTTCCTTTTCATTGATGTTAAGAAATGGACTTTAAGCTTAACTTAACTTTACAAAATCGGCTTGTAAGGTAAGTTTTTCACCCACTTATATATTGTGAATTGACTTATCTTTAGTCAATGTGGGGATTTCCAACACCCCCTCACGCTGAGATATAATATCTCGTGCATGGACTGACATTAATGGTTGGTCAGGTAGAAGCCCGATTGAGGGTGAAATAATAGACCCGACAAACAACAAACTTTGATAGGATAGGTTCTAACTCATGGCTCTGATACCATGTTAAGAAATAGACTTTAAGCCTAACTCTACCCTACAAAACCAGTTTGTAAGGTGAGGTTTGCATCCACTTATATATTGTGAATATACCTTATCTCTAGTCAATGTAAAACTTCCAACACATGCATGACTTGGTATGCTGGTATTTTTTTTTTAATATTTTTATTTAAACAAGTTATGCTTCAGGAATTCACTTTCAATTTTGTCTGATGTTTGAGAAACAGCTTCAGATTATTTTCAATTGGACGACTTGTTAACAGTAGAGGAGCATGCCATTAGGAGGAAAGTAAGAGAGTGTATGGAAAAAGAAATTGCTCCAATAATGACCGAGGCATGTATTTGTGATGATGTTATTACTTGAATTGAGAAAATTATGACAGGAAGTTATTCTTCCATAATGTTCCTTTTTTCTTTCTTTCAATCCCATCATCTTTCAACTTGTTTTCTTCAGTACTGGGAGAAGGCCAAATTCCCATTTCATGTTATTCCAAAGCTTGGTGCCTTGCACATTGCTGGTGGCACGATCAAGGTTCTCCCTATTGATATTTTCCTCTGTTGTTTAGATATTCCACATGATAAATGAAGTTCTTAGCTATCTGATTCTCAGGGTTATGGCTGTCCTGGTCTTTCAATCACTGGAAGTGCAATAGCTGTCGCAGAAGTTGCAAGAGTTGATGCCAGCTGTTCAACTTTTGTTTTGGTCCATTCATCCTTAGCAATGCTTACTATTGGTAATAACCTTGTTCATTTCATGTAAATAGTTCCCTAATTTTAGTTTTATTTGTATTAGATGATGCGATGTTAATAGTTCCTGATATTTTATAACTTTGACTGTCAAGTTTAGCATTGTGTGGATCAGAAGCTCAGAAGCAAAAGTATCTGCCTTCTTTGGCACAGTTTCAGACTGTAGCATGCTGGGTTAGTTTGTTTTTCTGGCAATGTATTACTTTATGTTTCTGCTCAAAAACTACTTCTGAAATGAATTATTTTCTTAACAATAGGCTTTGACCGAACCTGACTATGGAAGTGATGCCAGTGCTTTGAAGACCACTGCCACAAAGGTCTGTCACCTTATGCGGACCTTAACTAGTATTTGCTTTTTGATTCCTTTTGCCTTAATTGTCTTGTTAATAATTCTTAGTTTAATTGTTCCAAATTTCAATAGTACTGATATTGTGGAGTCGCTTTGCTTTTAAATGAACAGGTGGAGGGAGGATGGATACTTGAGGGCCAAAAGCGGTGGATAGGAAACAGTACATTTGCTGATGTTTTGGTCGTCTTTGCTAGGAATGCAGCAACAAATCAAATAAATGGGTACGAAATGAGTCCTTACATTCATTATTTAGTCTCTGTATGCTCATATATATGAAAATGAAATATTAACTTAGTTTTAGTATGCCTCTTCATCTAAATGTTAGAGATTCAGTTATGTATTAAAATTTTGTGGAGTGTCTTGTACCTTGCCCTGCTTCCCAACAGGGAGGGAAATTAATAAAATAACTGACATATTTTGATATGGAAAAACATTAGCCTGATATGATGCCTGCACTCCATCACACAATACACGGAAAGGATCTATGAAGAAGGAATTCCTTCAATTTTGGGGATGCCACGGAGAGTAAAAAATGTCTTAGATGAAAGTTTGTATTACTAGGCACTAACAACAATAACATGCTTAGACACTCTCTCGCACACACCCACTCCTAGCTTCTGTTTCCTGTGAACCTATTGTGTCTTACTTTGCAATTAAATTTTATTTACAATAGTCCCTGCGCTTTCTATTTCAGATTTATTATTAGAAAGGACGCACCTGGTTTAACAGTAACAAAAATAGAGAATAAAATTGGACTTAGGATTGTACAGAATGGTGACATTGTTATGAGAAAAGTTTTTGTCCCTGATGAGGACAGAATTGCAGGAGTAAACTCTTTTCAGGACACAAACAAGGTATGACTATGCGTGTTGTTTCTCTATTTTTCTTTCAATAAATCAATATGATTTCAACAAAAAGTTATTGTTTTGAGTTACTGTTAATAAAAGTTATACTAGATGAAGCGGTAGATATGATATATTAATCTTTGGTTGGTGGTGTGTCCTCAATTCTCATTTTGACAGACTGTTTTTGTTTTATTCAAGTAAACTTTAAATTCTAGCTATACATGTCCTCCATCCTCGTTGTTTGGTTTAATACCGGAGATTGGAAAAATCTGGTTAAGAATGTAGATGGAATTACAATCTTTACTCAGTCAGTATCTTGTGTATTTTTCATCTTTCATGTTTGGGGCTTGATTTACAACATTACCATTGCTTATATATTTTTTACTCTCCTAAAACCAGGTGCTTGCTGTATCACGTATAATGGTTGCTTGGCAACCCATTGGTATATCGATGGGCATCTATGATATGTGTCATAGGTATTGCTTAATTACAATGTAATCATACTTACTCTTTCACGGAAAATATTTTCTGAATTTGGATTGATCAATAGGTATCTAAGAGAGAGAAAACAATTTGGAGCTCCATTAGCAGCTTTCCAAATTAGCCAACAGAAACTTGTCCAAATGCTTGGAAATATTCAAGCCATGATTCTTGTTGGTTGGCGCCTGTGCAAATTGTATGAGAGTGGTAAAATGACTCCAGGTCATGCTAGCTTGGGAAAGGTAGTTTGTAACTTATGTCGCAATTGTGACCCCCTGCTTTCTTTCCTAAAACCAAAATCAAGTAATACTACTTGTAACTCTTTTTAAGATAGATGTATGCTAATGAATTTTGCCATGACCTTTCAGTCATGGATCACCTTGAGAGCAAGAGAAACAGCTGCTCTGGGCCGAGAATTGCTAGGTGGCAATGGAATTTTGGCTGATTTTCTTGTGGCAAAGGTATGATTGATTCTTAATACAAGATTTATTATGTCGAGCCTCAAGTTTGACCAATGATATAAACTAGGTAATTTAGTTGTCTGTTGATGAGTATAGATCGTCTGCATAAATCTTGCCTAACAAATGGATGAGAAGGTTTTAAACCCAAGTGTAATGTTCTAATGATCTTTGTTTCATTCTGTAGTCATAGAAGCTATATACAATTTATAAAGTTAAAATTTGTGGATGAAGAGCATCTTAATTTTATGGACATCTGAGTGGCAGCATTTATATGCTTTGCAACTGATTGACTGCTTTAATTCATCTATTTAGATTTAGATACTAATTGAATCAAAATTTGGTTAATTAATTTTAAAACATTATATTTTTCATATGTTATGTTGCAGGCATTTTGTGATTTAGAACCCATCTATACCTACGAAGGCACGTATGACATCAACACTTTGATTACAGGTAGAGAAGTTACTGGCTTTGCCAGCTTTAAACCAGTTGCGCAAAGAAGTCGATTGTAGAAGTGTAATGCATTGATTCTTTTGTACACTCCACTGGGCAACTTCAATCTATGCATTGTGGCTGTGACTACTGTATGTTGGTTAATTAATGTATGAAATTGAGCAATGGGAAACAATTAATACTTATAAAGACGCTTGTGTAGATGACTAATAATGAGCAAAGAATCATCAGATTCTATTTTTGTTGTGGGGGCATTGTACGGGAGAGAGTACGCTGCTGATAGTTAACAGATCTACATGTTTTAAATTGATCTTTTGGCATTGTCACCTGTGCTGGTCTTGGTGTGTGATTTAGGGCTGGAAATGTCAGGCAATTGTTGCCTTAAAACGATTCTAACCTGCTTCTTGATGAAAGAAATGGAAGCAATTGAAGCGAGCCTTACAAAACCTTCTAAAACTCGACTTCATTTGAAAACTTATTTGAAAGCTTTTTAGTCCTTAACACATGTAAACTTGTCACCAAAAACTCCCTGCGCTGGCCTGGACCTGCCATTAAAAGACTTATTCAAAAACAGCCTTCCATGGCTTGCCATTGCCTTATCGGTGGCGCATGCATTTATGCGTATCTTACTCTCCTTTGGCTAGATTTTCTGACTCAGCCAATCCATTTTCTGCTTCTTCTCTTAAGATTAATCCTGCGAATCAGTATTCACTATTTGGAGAGTCATTATTGGGCTTGAATACCTCCACCAAAGCAAGGTTTTTACTTAGTAGTAGAAAACAAGGAAAATGTTATGACTTGTGAGCAATTTCGGAATCCCTTGTAGTCGAGTTTGTAAATATTCTCTCGTCGACATGTTGTAATTCACGGTGGCGCAACTTAATTGGAACAAATTGGTTAAGATGGTATCATCCATCCTCGGAAATTAATAGGCTGTATGCGAGGAACGGAAATAATAAATTCTACCATGAGCTAATATATAGGTAGCACATCATTTCCTTTAATCAAATTATCCAAGGTGCATTATAAGGAAGCAGTCAATGTTTGGTTATGCACACAATCAATAATCAAGAAGTTGCGTGATGGAGTTGTTAAAATGATGAACAAAACCTTATTTTGTAGAACAAAAGGAGTATATTTTTTCATTCTAGTTGGATAGATAATATTGGGTGAGGCGATCAGTACATGTTTCTTAATGAACCGTTCACCATATATGACCATTGATTTCAATACTTGGTTGAGGTGTGGTCTAATAAATGAACAAACTTCTCAACATTGAAGGTATTTGGGTGTCTTACATATTAATGAAGGTAAATTTGCTAACAAATCCAAGAAGTGTTTGTAATAAGGGAATAAAGTATAAAAGGTTTAAGAATAGAGACTTTGAGCAGAGAAACTAGTGATCTTAAGTAGAGTGTTTTCATTTTTTTTTCTTTTGGTTGAGTCCAATATTTCTAACTAGTTAATTTCTGGTTTATAGTTAGAAAGTTAGCAAGTGATTATTCGGTTAATACTTTGTAAAACAGAGTGTAACTTCTTCTGCTGTCTATATAATAGCATTCTCTAGAGCCTTTTATGGTGTTCTTCTTTCGTGAAACTCCACCACTGCTTTTCTAATAGAAGCTTCTTCCTTTAATCTATTACTCTTACATTCTAGTTTATCGCATTGTTTATGGAATTATGAAGCTGCTTTAGCAGCATTCTTAATTAACCGATAACATCACAAATACTTAACAACAAATTACCTTATAATGTCCTATACAACAAACCTCCTAACATTTCACATTTAATGGTTTTTGGTTGTCTCGTGTTTTGCATGGTGATTTGGATGAGAGTTTTTATGAAGCCTCCTCCTGGATTATCTCTTTCGGATCCTAACTTGGTCTGTAAACTTACCAAATCATTATATGGTCTTCGGCAAGCTAGTCACCAGTGGAATTTTAAGCTTTCTCATACTCTTGTAGAAGCTGGTTTTGTGCAATCCAAATCTGATTATTCCTTATTCACCAAACATCTCCCATTGGTTTCACAATTGTGCTTTCTTATATAGATGATTTAATTCTAGCAGGGTTTGACATATCTGAAATTCACCAGCTGAAATCCCTAATACATTAAAATTTGGTATTAAGGAACTTGGTACTCTCAGATTTCTCTTAATAAGAGAAAATATGCTTTAGATCTGTTGCAAGAAGCTGGGTTTTTACCGGCAAAACCTTCTTCCACTCCTACGGATTATTCACTCAAACTGTCCACAACCACTAACTAGCATACCACTTCCCGACGCTACTATCTACTGCAGACTCCTTGGACGGTTGGGTTATCTTACCAACTCCAGACCAGTTATAAGCTTTGTGGTTAGCTAACTTGGTCAGTTTCTCATCACACCAACTTCTTTGCATTTACAAGCCGCTTATCGTGTTCTTCAATATATAAAAAGTAACCTTGCTCAAGTGCTTTTGAGCCTTGCTCAGTCTAATCTCCACCTTAGTGGATTCTCAGATTCAGATTGGGGAGCATGCATGTCTTGATACACGAAGGTCTTTGACTGGTTTCTGCTTCTTTCTTGGTTCAGCTCTGATTTTCTGGAAATAAAAAAAGAAGCACATTGTCTCAAGATCATCTTCAGAAGCAAATATAGAGCATTAGAAAATTCCAGTTGTGAAGATTCAATGTTTGTAAGTAATATTCTCACACTATGTGATAATAGTTCTTCCATTGGTTTATCCAAGAATTCCATTTTGTATTCTAGAGTAAAACATACATCATTTTACCATAGATCATATCCAAAAGGATAATATGGATTTATAGTTTGTATCCACAAAAGATCAACCAGTTGATGCATTTTACAAAGTACCTTATGAATTATCGATTAATATTTTATATGAAACCAACTGAGCGTGAAATTCGTCAACTTGAAATGCGCCCTTTCCTAATGCATCATGGCATGGAGCATCTAATGGTTATATGACCAGTAGAGAGTCTAATTGCATCGCATGAACGTCTTGCAAAGAGGATAAAAATTTGTAAACAAGTACGAGCACAATAATTTTGTCAGAATTGTGCAGAAGAATTATTATTTTTGGATAAAAACGAAGAGGGAGTGAATTAATTCTTTAATAAAATTGTGTCTTTTAAAAAATTTCTTTTTTTCAAACTGATTTTACAAATAAATTTGATTCCTTTCAAGAAAAACAAAGAGTATTGTACCAGATGACCTCCGGACGGTCCCAGACAAACACAGAGGACTGACAACACGACTCAATCACTCATACCGAACGGTCGTGACAGGTAGGTTTCCAGACGTGATTAAGGTAAAACACTGATTAAAGGATTGGGCTCTGGATTGGGTCGTGATTAAGGCCTTGCTAATCCTAGGCCCATGACCAAAACTATAAATATAGATCAAAGGTAAGAGGTAGGCCGATTCATGAATTATGCATTTATTGTAGCACTTAAACAACCGATCGAACCATTACCAACTTAAGCATCGGAGCACCTTTGACATGTACCCTCCCAGGCGGACAAGACGAACGAACTTTGGACAACAGAGGAAAGAATCTCACGAAGGCCGGACAGAAGCAACATAAGGCGTACAGATTTAGGTGACTCGACCCCATACAGGAACAAGTATAAAAATAGAGAATTGTAGAAATAGTTTTATACTAGTTTAGACCAAAAGATCTTACATCTAGTTATTAATCTCTCTAAAAAGGGATTAACCAATCGCTAACAAACCACCATAACAATCATAGATAAAAAAGTTTAGCTTAGAGATAAAGAGGAACAATACCTCATTTGAAACACACAAAGGATGAACAATTTTTCCTAGCAACAACCGTAGCACTCAATCACTTAAGACACATTTAGTGAAAGATCTCACTTTACCCACACTAGGTCTTCAAAAGCCTCTTTTAAAAAAAAAGAGTTTCTTTTAGCAGCACACCATTAAACTTGTGAAAAGAAAAATTATTTTTGAAACCAGGTTTAGGTAAAATATATAGACTTTTATTTTCTAAAATTAGGTCAAGAAATTGAAGAGTCTAGTCACAATTTTCGTTGATAATCGATTATCTAAAGTGATAATTGAATATCATAGAAACTTTTCGTGAAACTTTTTCTCGATGTGATAATCGATAAATATTTTATGTCAATCACCTCAATTTTACATGTTTTGTATATTTTGATAAAATTCAAGAGTCAAAGTTGAATTATGAAGAAAATAGAGAAAATATGAGCATTTCATAGCAAATTGACTTCAGCATGACAAGAATGTGAAATCTGGAAGCCATATAAAGAAAACTCATCTTGGAGGGAAACCTCAAGCCTTGACCTAAGGCTCAAGCCATGAAGAATCCTTCATTTATAAGTAATCTCAGGAGGCTTCAATCTAAAAATACATAGCTTATGCCATAGAGCAAACCCACCTTGGGAGTAAACCTAATGGCTAAAGCCATGGAAGCCATCGTTGAAGCCACTTATCAAAGTAAAAAAAAAAGGATTTCACCTCTATTTTGGGAGACTTTTGTAGAGTTGTTTAGAGAACTTCCAAAGACTCTTTTAGAGAGATTTAAAGAGAGACTTTCGAGATTTTTCTCACACACTTCCTCTATATTTTAAAGAGCATCTTTAGAGGACTAGAAGATGGAGTTTCTTCAATGATTAACTTCTTTCCATTCATTATGAAGAGAAAAATCTCCTAGGTGTGAAGACAAGATCATCTGAGAGAAAGACTAGGATCGTCTAAACCATCTCTGATTTTGAAGTTTAACAAACAACATTAAACGAAATAGCCTTGGGTAAACAATCATGTAAAAAAATACTCAATGCCACAAAGAAAATATGAAAATAACATAGGAGTACAAAGTCTACATTAGAAGCATCAATGTGTCAAGCCAAATCTAAGTAAAATCAAGATTGGATCTACGTAAAACAACACAAGAGATAAGATGATAGAACATAGAAGAATCCTACACATAATATGTTTAAAAATATACAATCACAATAAATGAATTAATATAAAAAAAATGTCAAATAAAACAATAAGCGCAAGAATCGATCAAGTAACATGCAAAATATAAGAATACACTTAGAGGACGACACACAACTAATCAATACTGCAAGAAGAAAGAAAGATTGATAAGACAAAGATCATGATTGTCTAGTGTCTTCACATGATCTAAAGACTAATAGACAAAGACCACGAGCGAAATAGATAAAAAAATTATCATCTTTGTAAAACCTAAATTAAAGGTCTGATATAAAAGATAAGCATTTATGACAAAGCTATGAGAAAAGCTTTAGTGAACGTTCTAATACATAAGTAGAT